TTTTCAAATCTTGTAAAATTACACAAATGCCCTTTACCTCTTCTTTTTTACTTTTTTTTTTAAATACTGCCACATCAGCAATTCTGGCCGCCGGCGACCCTGCCGGCAACCAACCACCGAGCTCCGGTGACCGGTTGTCGGAGCTCCGATAACTACTCTTTCTCATATATTAACTGCTCTTTTTTAGCCATTGACTACATTTATTTTTGAACTTTGATGACATGTTACCGAAACTCCGGTGACTAGTCAGAGGTACTCTAGTGATTACTCTTTCTTATATATTGACTACTCTTTTTTAGCTATTGACTACATTTATTTTTAAATTATGATGACTACTCTTACTTATGTATTGACTACTCTTTTTTAGCTATTGACTACATTTATTTTTAAATTCTGATGACTACTCTTGCTAAGCTATTGACTACTCCAGTAATGCAATTTACTACTCTTGTGTAGTCAATAACTATATAAAAATATTCATTGGAATTTTGAAAACAAAGGTTGTCAATAGTTAAAACAGAGTAGTCAATAGCTATATGGAAGTAGTCACCGACAGTAAGGACAATGTTGTCATTTTACAAGATTTGAAAATTCCAAAATAGTACCTAGGGTCTGAATTGGGATTTTGAAATTTACCTCTCCTAATTTGTCATTTAGTAATTTTGAGGGTATTTTACTGTCTTTTTCCCAAAAAAAATGATGACTGTTTATTTTTAAATGGAAATGTACATATTTATAATCACTTTTTTTTTTTGGTTAGAAAGTGCGTTGTGAATTTAACTTCTGAAGGGAGGAATATCAGGACGAAGGCATGCCATGGTAAGATTATTGGACAAATGAAATCATTCGCCATTTGATTATTTTTCAAAATAGAATAGTAAAATTATACCTGTACAGTTCTATTTATATGACAGAAAGAAAATATATTTTTTAATCGTATTTATAGGGTATTGAGAGAAAATTTTATATAGATGTATAATTTTACTCTTTATTTATTATTGTGTTGACTTTGTTTACATACAGTATAATGTATATTAAATAGAGATAAAGTTAGAAAGTTATTGAATTTTAAATAATAATTAATGAAATTTAAGGTTTTTCTTAGTTTATGTGAAACACATTAAAAGTAGTTTATAAATAAAATCAAAAGAATAATACTTATTGATGTCTGTTTTTGGGAGGCAACTCGAGTGAATATTTGATGCTACTCATAATTAATGTTTCTATTTTGGATGATTTATAATTATTAATTAGCAGCATACATAGATAACTTATTCGCTATAGTCTAACAAACGTGTTAATCATTCTAAAGAAATTAAATTTAAAAAAATGAGAATTAACTTTAAAAAAAACAACTATGCATTAAATAAATAAGAAATCCGAAACAAATATACACAAATATAAAGAATAAAGGCTATTTCACAAGCACCGTTGAAAGATAACAATTCAATATATGAAGAGTAATATACTGCTTAACCCAATAAGAATTGGTCTAGTTAGTAAGTAATCGGCTCATAATATATAAAGTTAAGTTCGAATCTCACTATCAATGACAATCTGTAAATATATATGTAAGTACTTTCTAAACTTGAAGACATGTCAAACAGACCCATCTCACCTAAGTTTTTGAAACAGACAGGTTATTAATTAAGACAGTAAATGGTCTCATCCCTGTAAGGAAAAGAATACAAATTCAAATCTTGGAAGCCCACTTGTTAAAATGACTTTAATTTTAATGCTCCCAACACGACAGATATTGGTTTGAAGCAGCTTGAGGGTACGCTAAGTTATATATATAAATATATATATAAACTGCCTTACATAAGCTAGAGAATACCACTCTACGTATTAGCAAGTCTTTCTCACGTTCATGTCCCGATAATGCCCGGAGGGATATGCTTCGCGCCTTGGAACCTCTTGTTCATTGTATTTTTTATTCATTGCTCACATTATGCTTGTTTACGAGAGATCGGACCGGGATAAGCTCGTCTTGATCTTGTCCTGGTGAATAGAAACGGGACATATATTTTTTTTTTTAACAAACCAATATAATCTGGACTGGATCTTTTTTTTTTTTTTTTTATGTTGTAATCTTTGTTTGCTATTGGGTTTTTGAAGATAAAAATATTAAGAAAATATACCATGTAAAAAGCCTAATCATATGATATGAAAAACGTATAAAAATAACACTATAAAAAAGAAACTACTATAAGAGAAGTACTATATGATGACTTCACAAATTATCTTATTAAAGAAAGAGATTTTATTGAGATAATATTATAATTTAATAGCTAAAATTTATGATAGAAAATAATTATTCTTCAAAAACAATTGAATATTCTAATAAAAATTATTAACAAGTAATTAAACAAAAAACTTTGTGATAAAATAATCCCGTCCTGTGCCCCGTCTCGATTACTGTAGTTATCCTGTCTCAAAACTTTTTTGGTTCCATTTTATCCCGAATTGATTAGAATAGGACAAATTGAACGCCACTACTTCTCATACATTAGAATTATTAAAGAAATTTTATATTATCAAAGTCACTATCCTTAAATAAAGAAATTTCTTAAAAAAGGTCGAATACTAATTAGATAAATACAAGGACCTTGAGATTTTACTAACATTTTCAAAGAAGACAGCAACAAAAGGTATGTTTGGATTTCCATTTCAAATTGTAAAAGTAATTTAGAACCTGTGAAACTGAGATTTTGAGCTTATTTGAATGTATTTTATTGTTTGGGTGGTTTTTAGTCTAACCACCTTCTGTCGCAAAAGTTAGTTGCGTTCTAAGGTTAAGGAAAGCTATTTTTGAGCTTTTAATAAGCTCATCTATCGTTAAAAAGAGCATTTAATGCTCATTCAAAAATATTTGCCCTTCTCTCTCTCTTCTTCCTTGCTCTTCCTGCTCACAAGCACACATCTCTCTTCCGTAGACTCTTCTCCCTTTCTCTTCTGTGAATATATCCCTTTCATCCTCAGTTGCTTGGTCTTCGCAGGTTCTCCACCCCAGTTCGCACTATCGTTCTTGGCCATTGCATGCGTTAGATCAGCCAGAGGTAAGTTTTCAGTGTGGCGTTCGATCTGGTCAATTGTGGTGTACCCTACAACCATCAAGTTCTTCTGCACTTCTTCCTAGCTTGTTCTACGATTTTGGAAGCAAAGCTTAGTCGAAGATCACAATATTTTCAGACTTGGAACAGTGACCCATCAAACCAGAGGCCATGTGCTTATCATAGATCTGGGCATTTTTCTTTGCCTCTGTTCCAGTTCACTTGTGCCTGCCTTGATTCCGGCTGAATTTCTTCTGTTGCGGTGAACACTCACAGCTATGTCTTCACATCTGGCATGTATTTTGAAATCATTTTTACACGATTTTCGGATGGACCTTGCTGATATTGATTTGCTACTTGTTCTACACAATCTGTTCATTCTCTGACTTGACTCTTTTTGGATACTTTTGTCCACACGTGCCTTGAATTCTAGATCATGTCATTCAACGAATCTAGCTCTGTTTGTGCTCGTAAACTGGTGGAAGAATGATTGAGTGAATGTTTGGAGGAGGGGTTTGAAGGTAAGACTCAGAGAAAGAAGGAAGATACTCGAGAATTGGAATGATACAAGTGACGTGAAGATCTAGGTGAAGTTAAAAGAGACTTTGAGAATTCGATTACTGGAAAAACATGGGTGAACCCATCATTGGAAATGAAGGCGATGTGAGGTGTTTTTGCCGTGAAAACTCCAATCAATAAGGTGTAATGTGATATTTGGATTTTGGTTCATATGAAGATTGGTTGATTTTTTTTTTTCCGATTTGTTTAGATGGGTGGATTAATTTATACGATAATTTTTCTCATATTGGCATTTAAAGCAGATTTTGCAAATGGTCTATCATAAGTTCCTTTGATCCGCAACATATATAAGATTACAGACGTAAATTAAACAGCAAGACAGAGAAGAGCTTGGTTCAAAAAATTTTAATTTTAATTAATTTTAATTTATATTCATGTTTATCCCTTATACATATTTAATTATCTACAATGTGTTTTTAAATTTGTCTCACTAACAAATATTTTTATTTTATAATTATAATATTTTATATCTAAACTTACTTTTTTATTAATCATTCAAACAAGTTTCAACTTTTTTAACTGATTTTTTATAAATACAAATCCAAACGCAAATCACATTATATTAACTGATTTTTACTCTAACTTCAATTTGTAAAAAATCAATTGAAATAAAAGTCAATTTTATCACCGCATCCAAACACATTCAAAAATGCCCTCGTAGGTTTAAGTTAAACATCTTGAAGTATCAGAAAAATACTCAGAAATAATAATCAATCAAGCACTTTTGTAGCCCTTTCAGCTTGTGTGTGTATTATATTTTTCAACCTAGCTCCTCATATTGTTAAAATTAAAAATGAATATGAGAAAATAATAAATTAAATTTTAATAATAAATATAGTTAATCAGATATTCCTACCCTGGTCATTTTTATTCTGTTATTTGACCCAGAGGGAGCCTGTCATTTCACGTGGGCATGGAAGAACGTACCTCCGCCTGGATTGAAAACACTAGAAGGAAAAAGACGGTGCGGTATGTACCAAAAAAGAAACAGGAAAAAAAGGGGGTGCAGTCGGGCCGAGGCCCATCCGATCCATTACCCGCTAACGGACGGCAGAGACTCGTCACAGTTATTGGCGGTGATCCGGTAGCAAAGCAGGGTCCTCATTTGTGATCTTTGGAAGTATTTGGGTCAAACTAAATTATAATTTTAAAATATATAAAAAAATATTTTTAAAAAACACTTCGGCGTACACGGACACCTTTTATTTCCCATAAAAAGTTTAGAGCGGGAGATCATCGGCGTTGTGGGCTAGCCAAATCAGAGAGATCAGGGCACATCAGATTTGGACACGTGGACCCATGCTTATAATCGGATGCAAACCTATTTATATTCCACTCTTTATTCGGTGTTTCTGGTCCGCCTCTTAACCTCCTCATCTCTCTCTTTCTGTCTCTCTCCCGCCCGCCGTTTTCCTCAGCTCTCACTGCACACCCTCGCAAACCCTAGACGCCTTCTCCGCAACCTCACAATTTTTTCATGCTCCTTCTGGATCTCGCTTACTGAAGTATCTCTTTTCTTTTTCTTCGGAAACCTTTTGAATCGGTGTTCGAGGAGGATATTTGGAGATACGCCACGCTTCGGAATTGTCGGCGATGGCCGCTTCCACCACAAGCCAGGTCTATGTTCAGGTAATCGAAGATGTCATGAACAAGGTTCGCGATGAGTTCATCAACAACGGTGGTCCTGGCGAGGAAGTTCTCAAGGAGCTTCAAGCTGTAATATTTCTTCATTTCTCTTCGCGCTCCAATTTTATTCATTTCCTCTTGCTATTCTTCATGTATTGACTGATTGGTAGTATTGTGTTAATAGATATACCATGAAATCTGCGTGGATTTGTTTGGGAATGTATTTTCCTTATCGGCTGATTGACTTAGGGCTCGGATCTGATCTGACCATTTATTGGATTTATATTCTTACCAAAGCTCCATGGTTTTATGCTTACGCTCTTTCGTTTTGCCTTTGTTGGTCACCTAGACGTGGGAAACAAAAATGATCCACGCTGGTGTTATTCTCGGGCCAATAGAAAGGTCCAGTGCAGCTAAGCCTACGCCCGGTGGTCCAATAACTCCGGTTCACGATCTAAACGTCCCATATGAGGGGACTGAGGAATATGAAACTCCTACCGCTGAGATACTTTTCCCTCCTGTGAGATTTATTCCATATTTGTAAATTTGCGTTTAGTGATTGTCTTAAACTCATTTATTACATTTTTACTGTCAATCATGGTATTGTTTGTTGTTGCGGGATTTTGTTTGTACAGACGCCTTTGCAAACTCCAATTCAGACACCTTTACCGGGAACCGCTGATAACTCCATGTATAACATTCCTACTGGACCTAGTGACTACTCAACCCCTGGAAATGATTCTAGCGGAAATACTGAGGTGAAAGGTGGAAGACCTGGCCCATACATGGTAAGCTCATTTTGTCGGCCAACTTGATGATGATTCATCAATGAATTATGCTACTGTAAGATCGCTGGTTCATATTTTATTCTCCTTCTATATAAAACACGTGTACGGTTGCTGAAATGTTTTCCCTTGAGGGTGACCAACGATCTGATTCATGTATTTTTCTTGTAGCAACCTTCTTCTCCTTGGATGAACCAGAGGCCTCCACTTGATGTCAATATTGGTGAGGCCCTGTTTATTTTGAAACCCTTGTCTAATAAAAATGACTTTACATTGATATATATATATATATATATATATTTTTGGTGAATGACTTTACATTGATATTAATTACGGTATATATTGCTCTAGCTTATGTCGAAGGACGGGAAGAAGCAGACAGAGGAAATTCTAATCAACCTCTGACACAGGTAAGCAAGTCCGTGAGGTATTTTGGTGTCTGTTGCATAACTTGAAGTTGTCTCGTGATGTTGTTGCTATGGATAATTTTATAACCAACCGTTGATTATCAGTTAAACATACATTATTTTTTATGCTAAAATTTATTTAATATAACTATAACAAGCCAAAATTGATGATTAATCTTTAAATTAAATATTTTACAACTGATAAAGTATTAAAACAAAGGCAACCGTGACATAATATCTAAGTTTGCAATTTAAATGATTTATCCGCCTGTAATTATAACCATTGGGTATTCTTTTATCAATGTAAGAGAAGGCAAGGTTATATGAGAATCAATCGTTTAATTTTCCATAAAAAACTCTTTAATGGATAAGAAAAATTAATTGGTCTTTGGGTTAATAATACTTGATAGATGCACACTGTAGGATAGGCAATGTAAGGTTGTTACACTAAGGTCCCGTTTAGTATGAAGCATTGAGAATGAGAAGTAAAGATTAAGATTGGGATTGAGAAAACTATGGTATTCTTCAATTCCACCTGCATGAGTTTGCCTAATTTTAAGTAACAAGCAATCCCTCATAGTAAACACTCTTTTAATAGGTTTTCTCAATTCTTATCTCAACACTTGCCTCTCATTCTTAATGCTTCATACCAAACAGAAGCTATGTTTGTAAGTTTAATTATGGCCACTAAGCAAGAAGAACACATTCTGGTTGTTTAGATGAGGCACTGGACGTATACGTCGGAGGCCTCAAGCTTGAATTGCACATTAGCTATTTTTGAAGCTAAGAGGAAAAGTTTTAGTGGGGACCACCCCAGGGCTTGAATCAGCGCAGGTTTTCATAAAAACGGCACAGTTCAACCCTTTTTTAATCAATTTTAATTGGTTATATGATACAGTAATTTACAGTCTCTTCTGGACCAGACGAGGCTGGTTTCCCAGTTGAATTGGCTGGTCTAGTTTGGTTCAATTAACATTGCTTGTTATTAAGACATCAAGCAGATTTCCTTTCTTGTTGCAACATTTTATTGATGCTTATTCCTGAAACATTCACTCCTATCCCATAAAATGAGTAACACGGGACCAAAATCACATTTGGAATTTTACTTGTTATTGACTTGTGAGAAACATCCAGGACTTCTTCACGGCATCTTCAGGAAAGCGAAAACGTGATGATTTTCCTTCACAGTATAATTCTGGTGGATATATACCTCAGCAAGATGGAGCTGGAGATGCTGCATCTGGAGTTTTTCAAGTTGAGGTATACTTTTTTTTTTTTTTTTAATACAATCAGCCCAAGTAGAAAATGGATTTCAAATAGTTTGGTGCTCACTTGTGAATTTGCAACTTGGATGTTGTATCACATTAATATGTTCCATGATGTTGTTGTTGTTATCATTTATATCATCATTATTGTATAGTGGCTTTTCATGCATGAGTTGACGCTGACCATTGATTAAAATTTCAGTTACAGAACACTTTAGTGGTATTTATCGGATACCCTGTGATTCTTACTTCAAGAAACCAGAATCTTTACCTCTCTCTCTCTCTCTCTAAAATAACCTTGACTTCTCTATGATGGTTATTGCTGTTGACGAACATTACTGTAAACTACGCAGGTTTTCTGTCAACAAACCCATGTAGCTTCACTCTTTTAAGTTGCTCTCTAGGTTTTTATAATACGTATCATACATGCATTTCTGTCTGTTGGTCCACTGACTGACTTGCTTGAATTGACAGAAGGGTTTATTTAGCTTTGAAACTGTTTAACATCACGCTTTTCAGGTGCATGGAGGGAGCATCTCTGTTGGTGCATCTCACAGTACTTCTAAAGGGAAGTTAGCAGTGTGTTCCGAGAGGCCAGCTTCAAGGATTCCTCAACTTGATGGACCAATTCCTTATGATGATGATGTGCTTTCTACTCCAAATGTGAGTAGTGATACCGATACTTTTTTTCCTTTCTTTTTAAAGCATGTGATGGATACCTTTATTTTCTTATTTCCCCATGCACAGAGTATTTGCTCATCTTCCGTTCTGCGTATTATGATTAATTGTATTTTTCCTTCGATGTCTTTTTCTTTAACCATCTGATGTTGTTGGGGCTTATGCTATCTTGTGCAGATTTTTTCATCAACTCGTTCATAATATTATTAGTTCTGTATTTGTTGGCATTTCATTTGTAATTTGAATTATTTCTTGTTGCTTAGTTTAAAAGAAAAGGACCTCTAAACATGTGGGGATCATTTTGGTAATTGGCCAGTAAATTCAAAGATTTTTGTACTCATGTTGGCTAGTTATCTGTTTAATTCCGTGTTGGGTTCATGTCAAGAGTAGTGTTTTCATTTTTCACATGATTTGGTAACTGAACTAGTTTATATTTAATAATGTTAGTTCTATCAATTATTTTTTCTTGCTAATCACTGAGGGTTTATTGGTTTTTTTTTTTGGGGGGGGGATAAGGGAAGGAATTGTTAGGATAAAGAGAGAAAGAAAGGAGGATGGGAGATGATAATGATTTAAACGATGACTTTCCTTGGGAAAAATTAACAAGGAAAATGAAAGGGGATGTTGAATGGAGAAATGGATTATTTTTTTTACTGGTTCTAACTGTAACAGAGCCTTATAGGACCTTTTAAGTATGATACTTCTGACTGATCCCATCCCTCCCTCCCCAACCACCCCCCCTCAAAATTTTTTTTTTTTTTTTTATTTTTTAAGTATACATAACAGTCTTCTCATGTCTTGCATTCCACCATCTTCCTGTTTATTTCAGATATACAATTATGGAGGAGTGTTCAATGAAGACTACAACATTGCAAATACACCAGCTCCTCCTGGTAAAAAATGGGCATGATGTTACTATATTTTGGTGATATCTACTGCTCACCACATGTGCATCCGTCTCTAATTTTAATGGTGCATCATTTGTTTTCTCAATTTTTAGAAGTACCGGCAAGTACCCCTGCTCTTGTTGCTCAAAATGAGGCTGGAGATGATGATGATGAAGAACCCCCATTGAATGAAAATGATGATGATGAGTTGGATGATGTGGATCAAGGAGAGGATCACAATACCCAGCATCTTGTTCTGGCTCAGTTTGACAAGGTAACAACACGAAGTGCACTGTAGTGCTATATGTTATATGGTTGCATTCTGAATATCTCCACTTTTTGAGAACTAATGGTAGTCTTGCCCCTAATGTAGGTGACGCGTACCAAGAGCAGGTGGAAATGCACATTAAAGGATGGGATCATGCGCATAAACAATAGGGACGTTCTCTTCAATAAGGTGTGTTGCTCACGATTGAGGAGATTGGTCTTACCTCATTATTTCAGTTATCAGTTTGACATGTTTATTTGATTTGCCGGTTATTATGCACTTTTTTTTTTTTGCAGGCGACAGGAGAATTTGACTTCTGATTTTTGTCATTTATCACGATTTGGTGGATGTATGTGAAGCATAAGGCAGGGTGTCATGGGGTGTTTCAAGTCTTCTTGTTTGATTATAAAAATATTAAGTGAAAGCTTAAGGAGGGGAGATATCCTTAATATTAAGTGAAAGCTTAAGGAGGAGAGATATCCTTAATACTTTCGGCTTTCGAGACTGTTATTGGTGTTGGGCCTTTACATGAATAGATGGTATTCTGAGGCATATTTTCTGAAGGTTACCATTTGTCAAGTGCGATGTACTTAGTTCCGTTAGCGCTGTATACTCGGACATTTTGGTTAATTGAGAATCGCTTTGTATGATAACGATATTATTTATGTCATCTCGGTCATCTTTCATGTAGTTATACGCAATAATGTTAATTAATCTTTGGATTTGAGCTTTGAATAAAGCAGGAAGGGAGTCCCTGAGTTGAAATTACGAATGGGATCATGTAATGCCACGCTTTGGAACCGACTTTTTACTTTTTTGGCTCGAGAGCGATTATTCGGAGTTGGATTCTAAAACCTTGGCCATAGCATTTGGGGAATGCTTTGTAGCAAGCGCGATGTTTTCGTTTTGGCCTGGGCTTCTGTTGTACATTTTCTTTTTGAGTGGAAACCGAATATATTTACTACTAAAATGTTACTTTCCGTCATAAGGGTTAGTTGGGGATTTGATTTGCTTTTAAATGTAAGATTTTAATTTATTTCTCTCTTTTTTTTTTTTGTAAAACAAATATCCATTAAAATAATTTTAATCGTCTAATACACATGATTGAAATACATATTGTAGAGAGATAAACACATATTTGTGATAAATAATTAATTTAATTAATTTTTTTAATATCTTTAAATTAGTTATTTAGTGTTTATATTAGGGACTTGAGGTGGTTGAATCTTTCATCATCCACCATCTTTAATCTTTCACATAAGAAGCAGTGGTTGATCAAAGCTCGAAAATGATCGCCATCAATACTAATAATAGCTTGAAGGATTTTTTTTCCCCCCTTGACCGAAGCATCCTGTCGCTATGAATGTGATAAAAAATAACAGACCCAGACCAATCTTGATAAAAAACCTTCTGACTTCGTCAATAATATCTTGATGACTCTGAAAGTCAGATAAGTCCTTAAAGAAAGCATTTTAATTTTGAGCATTGCCTGTGAAAACTTCACGTCGCATATCCTTTCCCAACAGTATTCCAGAACCAAAGCTATGGCTTTCAGTTTCGCTGTGTAGTGTGGGGCGATTTTTTACCTTCCTAGAGAAGCCATATCTCCATGCGCTCTTTGCATCCCACACTGCTCCTCCGCTTATGAACGTACCGTTCTTTGTAACAGATGCCGCGGCCTCCAACTTTTGAGGCTCCGAATTTTCTTCCACTTGTCTCCTCCAACTTCGCTGTTGCTGGTTCAAAACATAATAAGAATTTCTGGCCTTTTTAGCCTTTATCGCAATAGCTTTCTGCGTTGCTTCTGGTGCTATGTTTTCGTTGGTACGAGTCTTGCCCTTTACAAGCAACCCCTCCTCCCCCCTCCCAGAAAAAAGAAAAAGGTTAAGGGGGACAAAAACCTTTTCTGTTCGCCTGGACCTTTCGTTTTCATATATATGATACGACGTTGGGCTCACAACCCTTCCCAATTCAGGATTTTTCAAGTCATTTAATTTAAAAAAACAAACCATGATATTAGGTACTTCCCCTTTCCCCTTTGTCTACCTCATATGTTGGTTTGCTCCTAATGCCTGATGATCGGAGGATTTGTCAAAACATCTAATAAACAACGACAAGAAGCACACTTGATATCTATTTCTCAGATCTCAATTATTGCCCTTTAATTTATAAAAGGGCTAATGTCCTTTTAAATATCCTTAGGCTCAACTCTTGAAATTAGTATCATTAATACAGACCTCTATTTAGGAGAGGCAGGAGATTGCTCTACAAACACAATTTGCGTCTGCGTTGCCGCTGAAATTGAAAGGATTGCAATTGATGTGCAAGCTGATCCTGAAGAAGATAAATTATAATCTCACAAAGAAAAAAGAAATGAAAAAGGACACAGAAGGATGGGGAAAAGAGGCATCCCTCCAATCCAACCCGGTTACAACAGGTAAGAAAAATACTAGATTTCTCCTAACTGGAACCCATAAGGTGCAGACATGGAGAGGCATCAAAAGCAAGGGGCGATTCTCACTTCACTGCGCTTGATTAACAATCACACATTGTTTCTGGGAAAAAGATAAACAAAGACGAAGGCTCAGGAATGGAGTCATCATAGCTGGATGCTGCCACCCGGAGGATGAAGCCAGACCACCTTGTACACTGCCACACCGTTTGTTGTCATTTCCACTGTGTGGAGTCTCTATCAATGATGGCGGCGGAGATAAGATGAGTGGGGATAGTAATGGGATTGCATCGGAAGATTCATTAGAAGCTCCAAAAGGGAAGCCACTGCTGATCTTATCAAGCTCAAGTGAACCGGGAGCACGCTTCTGTAACCTGGTGGCATTTCCCCCTGCTTTTGTTGTGCCCTTGTTTTCTTCCATTTCCTCAATCAAATCCAATCCTGGGATTTTGCAGGAGCCTTATACGGAGCATCGATGTTTAATGTTGCTCTGCTGTGTTATGGACCGTATCGGATCTAAAGGGTGCTGCGGAAAAGAGGGGTAGGAGTTATGTTTGACGGTCCATTACAGAACAATCAAGGGGTTTTACAGAAATGATCGTACGTTTGGTTGGTTAATTGGGTTTGTAGGAGGACCTGTCAGTTAATGCCAGGTTTACTGCAAGTCAGAGCATGCCAATAATAAGATTCTCTTTTATTTGCATCCACTTCTTTCCGCCATGAGAGGAGCAAACATAAGTGCATAAACGTTTCCTGCTCCATTATGGTTTTCTCGTTTTACCGATTTGTACATTTATTAATTAATTCTTCTTTATCCATGTTAAAACAACTTCACTAGTAATTTTCTTTCTTTTTTTCTTTCATATTCTTCAGTTCTAAAATACTTTTTTTCCTTTTTTTTTTTTGAGATGCATCTCAAGAACTAAAAATATACATATGAAAAATGAAAATAAAAAAAAAAAAATTAAAAATTAACAAACGTAACAAAATGCTTACTCGGTCAATGGCTTTATTTATGACCCGGTGCTATTGCATGCTTTTAAATTCATTGATGTGGCCTGATCATGTATGGGCCTGTTTTTTTACTTTTTTGTGGTGAATGTATGGGCCTTTTTTTTTATTAATTGATTGATCCTATGGGTTGATATGTAAAAATGATAGATGCGATGGCCTCAACAAAAGATTTTTATTAATTGATTGATCCTATGGGCTACGACGATCATTGTTGAATCTGATTCTAAAGGAGTTGATTGAGAGATCATCCAAAACACCCAGTTGAAAGAGGGAACTTCTCTTCGGTTTGGACTTTGATTGTCGAGATGAGGAAAAGGAACTGGAGTATAACAGTTTCAAATACACCAAGAGATACCAACAAAGTTGCTGATAGGCTTGCGAAGGATGGCCTCAGTAGGGTAACATAGTTTTGTTTTTATTGATACGCGTCCCAACTCGCTGAGGCCCTTGTGCACCAAGATTATGGGGATCTCTACCCTCATGTTAGCTTTTCTTTGTTATAATGGGCTAAGCCCTCCTCTTTACCAAAAAAAAAAAAGATTTTCCGCGAACCCCGTGGGCGGGGAAAGAGAAGAAGATGCATAACTCATTTTTTTTTTCCCCCCCCCTTACAAACATGATTCTTTAAGCAATGGATAGGTAGAAAATTGATGAGTTAGCGTAAACTCATAAATTTGCAAAAGTGCGGACAAGAGATAACGAAACCTAGCTATCAAGCAACTGATTCCACTCACTGATTCCTGTCTTTTTTGGGGATCGCATGGCTTGCTCTGCCTCAACTCCTCCGCCCCTCAACTTGATCAACCTGTCGCTCCATCACCGGCAACAAAACTGCCGAAGGCTCCATTTTCCAACACTCATATTAATCATCGTCTGGCTTCATCATATAACGATCTTCTCGCTCCCAGCTGCGCCTATTACCCGATTGCTCCTTCCTACTCTGGTCGCAGACTCAGATTCTATGTGAGACCCGAAAGCCTACAATCTTATCAAAGTTTCATGCTTTTTATAATATAATCATTTAATCATGCACTTTTGTCTTCTGGGCAGGCTGGAGCGCAGAGGGATTTTTCTTCGGGGGAACCACCCGAGTCGCTTGCGTCTGACGCAACATCCCGAGAAGAATTTTCTGGTCTTCTGTAATTTTTTCCGTACGTTTCTGTCACTCCTCCTTCATTCCGACTATGTCAATCTCATGTTAAAGTCAGACAATAGGAAGCTTGGCTGGGTGTGAAGGCTTTTTCACAGCAACTTCACTGGGAAAGCTGGCTTCACTCGCTCATTGTTACTTTAGAACTAAAACTTCGCTTATAAAACAAGACGCACTGATTTGTCGAAATTATGCCTCT